ATCAAAAACGGTTTCCAATTAGACAGTCCTGTTTCACTTCTTTGCATGGAACGTATGTTGCAGAATTGACTCAAACTCTACACAGGTATATTCACAAAGATAAAGCAAAACAGTTTTCTGTAGTACTGAGTCAAAAACGTTGGTGCTGTTTGGCAAGTAAATATTTGTGTCTTTCTTTACCATTTTATGATCTGATCTGAGCTGACTTGAAGAGGAAGGTGGATATGATCACTAAGCACTTGTCAATTTGCATTCTCTGCTTTCTGCTTTCACACCTTCTTTCCTCCTGACTCAACTTCAGGTTGGAAGATGAGGTATGCAGAGTTTATGGGAAGGTGTATGTGAACAATATCACAGAACTGAAGTTCAAACAACCCATAGCCGCCTAACATCCAGAACAAGTAAATCATGTCTGCATTAATTTTCAGTTAATTGAAGAAACAGTGTATCACTGTAGTAAAATATACAAGGAGGTTATCACTTCTACTTGCAAGAACAAAGTTTATGCCTTTTTTTTTTCCTTCCTGTAGTGAGTACTGAAAAGCCAAAAAGAACAACATTCACGTGGAACTACTTTCAAATGCCCAGTTACACATGCTGATTGCCTCAACAAAGAAAGAAAAATGAATCAAGACTAGGAAGAGAAAGAAAAGAATGTCCTTATCACTAACGTATTTGATTAACTGTTATTTAAGAGTGACTCTTTCCAGCAGCATTAAAGGTTGTTCTCCTGGAAAAGCTGCTGATAGTGATAGTGACAGTCCACTCCTGCACAAGTTCACCATGTCAAGTGTGCATTGTGAATACTTTTTAGCAGTTTTTCCAGTGTGTTCGTGTAGCAAAGCATGTACAGTCTCAGCTAAGGATAAGATTATGAACTGGATACACAGGGCCTGTATTCTCATACAGCAGATCCTGCCCCATCAGCTTTGCGTTGAACCATGATTTTCTACATGCTTACATTACTTTTTGTTCTGTGTGCAGAATCCTAATAAGGTATTTAAGTGATGAAATAAACATCTCCTGCCAGTAAATACAGTTCATTGTAAGTAAAGTAGTGTTGTCTCTAAACGTTGCCATTAGTTTTCTAGGTACAAAAGTTCTCAGGAGCATACAAATTTATTTCCAGCATGCATTGCCCACAATCTCATTGTGACATTAAGAGATTACTTTTGATTAGGCCATCTCTTTGTTGTTGTGCTAATGACTGACAATTTCAGTAACTACACTACAACAAAGAGAATGTTAATTCATTTGTCTGGGCACCTAACTGTGTACACATCAACTGTGAGCATAGGTGCCATCAATTATTCCACTGGTGCATTTCTTGAGTATAAAACCTCTATTTTTATGATGCTGTTAGCATCAGTTTTCTTCCCTGGTGAGTCTTTGTACTGAAATAGTTATTGTAAGATTTTTAAAAAAGTGCTTTTATCCTTTAGAGATTTATATCTAAGCTATAGCATAGTCACAGAAGGAACTGCTATGATTGTAGAATGAACTAAACACCACGAGTACAAAGTTTATATAAACAGGACATTGTGTTCACGAGGCCAGGAGACTACAGTTTATCCAAGAGAAGAAAGCCATGCAAAATTCAAGTTTTGAATGTATTTATCACCTTCCATGGAGTAGATAAAAGAGGTTAATATTACTTTCAGACTGCTATAATTGCACCAGGACTCTGCTCACGGTGTTGCCTCTGCACTACTGAAGAGGAGTTCATGTTCCCAGATACTTCAGTTTAGTTACATTGGTTCTCATTGAAGACACTAAACTGTTTCAAAACAGAAACCAATGCAGGTAAGGACAGGCACTGGCATAGCAACCTTCATGGCAGTTCTTGCTCTTTTTTGAAGCCTTGGCTCACACCCAGCTATAGGCCTGAAACTTGATGCAAAGGCACAGTTGTTTTACGTAACTTACCTTTACTTAACACAGCCATCTTGTTCAAGAATCACAGTTTTATAACTGAAAATACCACATGTATTTGAGGGGAAAAAAAAAAGAAGTGTGTATGTATCCCATGAATCAGGGCCCAATTTCAATACCCAACAATTTTCAAAATTGTTTTTAAATAATTACTGTGATATTCTCTCTCCCTCTAATACAGTCCTTTAATGAGCCTTGTATTTCTAGCATCTAAATGATTAAGAAACAACAGTTATTCCCCTACTTATCCATTATTAATACAGCCCATTATGATTTGCAGTATAGCTACTCTAGATGAAGTTGTCAAAATGGATGAAAGAACATTTAAGACATTAAAACCCTGATGCCAATGATATAGTGTACAGTATGCATCAAATGAAAACAGTTAATTCGATTACTATATCTAACCTCAAAATGAAATCGACCAAATTGGCTACTGTAGATTTAGTCAGATTAGTTTACAAAATAAATTACTAAACCTGAACCCAGCAGAAAGATTACTTTCCTCTTCCAAACTGGCAGAAAATACTGTCCACCTTCATCAGCTGTAAATTCAGTCTGAAGTTAGTGACCTAATGTGCGTATTTTCCCCATTTGTATTTCTTAAATAAACCTGCAGGAGAAAATGTGCAAAATAGCAAGACCTGTTGGAATAGGCAGAAAGGAATTCAAACTTTAATCTGATTGGTTTAATTTTTTTAGCATGAGGAAAAAGAATAAAGTTACAAGATCCTTTTAATATTTTCACAACGTTAAACTAAAACTGAGCTCTAGGCTACATGTGTAAGTAAATCTAGAACACAAAAGGGTTAAATAAGATCTTCTTTCAAGATACAAGAACTTAAGCTTTCTTTTACGTTTAACAAACTTCACAGAACAGATACTGCAAAGGAACAACCCCCTCCCCAACTTTTTGTTTAAAGTGAACATTGTCCATAATTTACATGAACTTTTAAGTAGTGTTCTCTCAAGAGCCACCTTGAAACCATCTGTGCACTTGTAATGAGATTAAAGAGAGTATTAAGGAGGAACAAAATAGCATCTTCAGTATTAATGCAGAAAAGTCTTATGTGTCAATCAGAATGCCCATCAAATGCTATGGTATGATTTTGTAGGAAAAGAAAGTGCTTATCACAGCAGCCTCCAAAATCCATGTTTGCTTAAACTCCTCATGGCAAATGTAAATAATATCCTTGGACAGTCCCTCTCACGAAGACCACTGCCTGAAAATGCAGCACATTAGGGAAGATTTTGGTGCTGGTTTTATCTTCTTGACTAACATCAATAATAAGAAACCAGCTTGCCGTCTGGATAGTTTGTAGTTTATAGTGGTATGATGGGGCACTTCTGATTTGCTCCATGGTTAATTAACAATAATGCAGTCAGATGCTGAGTGTGTGTGGAGATGCAAATACATAATCTTTTTATTTAAATTAGTTGTCTCCTTGTTAAATGCTCCTAGCTGGCTACCAAAGTAGCAATCTGATTTGGCCTATAAGGAGTTAATTACCTGTAACAAGTAGAATGGAAGACGACTCATCCAAGCTTACTCCCAAAACTCTGGGGTTTTTCCAAGTGATACATTACTTCACCCCTCTGATGTTTTATACCTGACCAGGATTTGAAGATGAGACAAAATCTTTCCCTCCCTCAGGTTTTCTTACATATTTACCTGATTGTTAACACCTTACTAATAGGCTGAGAAGCTGAATTCATTCAGAATTAAGCTGCGCCACACCAGTACAAATCCTTTTTACCTGCATAAACCCTGTGTGCAGCAGATCTGCCAATGACAGTATTTGCTTTTTTGTTTCCAAACTGACAAGACTGGTGCAATTCAGTTCAGCTCAGCTCAATGTGACATACTGTAATACAGAACCATAGGTCTAACCAAATCCAAAACATTCTACTCCATGTAATGCTTTCCACATTCACTTGCTATACTTGCTTTGCAATAGATGCGGGCAGAGATTTTCATGAGCGCGTTCAGCTGCATAGAAAGAAGGCTGATGGAGCCCACTTGATTATCTCATTGACACTCTGGAAGCGAGGAACACGAACTCAGTCTGATAAAGGATGTTTTACCGGTTGTTCCCCAATACTGTTACTGAATTCTGTTTGCTACAAAATGTCCTTTTTTTTCCCCCCAGTATATAAGTCTAGCTACAGAAAGTCAGTCTGTAGAATCCAGCCATGGCTACTGTGCTGTGAATTAGCCTTATTTGATCAATTATCAGATACCTGCACTTAGCAAAAGGCAAACAAGAGCCAATCAGGTTTTGGCCAGTGGGAATGGCTGCACTGTTCAAGGTATGTGGAATCTGTTCACACAACTCATACTATCACTGTGGATGCCATGTAAAAAGTATGCACCATTTACTGCTCTGGGATGGAGTTGGCTTTATAGTGAGATCATAATTTAACTGAGAAGAAAGAAAAAAACCACCACCACCAACAAAAAAAACAAACAAAAAAACCCCCAAACAAAAAAATAAACCACGAAAAAAAAACCAAACAAAAAAAAACCCCAAACCAAACAAAAAAAAAAAAACAAACCGCACCCCCCCCCCCAAAACAAACAGAAAAAAAAAAAACAAAAAAAAAACCCAAACAACCCTGATAGGTTATTTATAGTAAGATAGATATAAAAAATTTTATAAGAATCTCTGTCCCCCTTTCTTTTTGGCTTCCTGGGAAGAACCAGAAAGATGTTCCTACCCCAACAGAATCCCTGATGCTGGTGACACTGCCTAACTCAAAAGCCACACGCGATGAAGGCACGAGTGACCAGTCAGGTCTTCTGGGCTTAGGCAGCTGCAATTGCTGCTCCTAGTAGTATTTCACCTCCTCAGGATTCACTAGCAGTGAAGAGGTGAAAGGCTGCACATTAAACAGTTTGTCCGAAAGCCATGTGCATAGCAAACTTTTACACCAGCTTCTATACAACTATTTGTTTTAACTCTGCAGCTGGAATGTTTCCAGCATAAGGCTTTTAGAGTGACTCCAGCAATAACAGAAGCCTTTGGATTTTTCTTGTTTTGTTTAAATCCACTAGCCATGCTCAAAAATAGTATTTCTTCATGTTTTATTTTTATACGGTGGCTAGCAGGCACCTTAGTAACCAGCCAGAAATCAATTTCAACCACCATCAACCCCTAAACTACAGTACCAGGACAGCTGGCTAAAGAAAGGAAACTGATTGGCTGTAGTCTGAAACTTGCCTAGTACAAGGTGTCTGGCTGACTTTGTCCTAAATAAGGCTAACATTAGTGAACTAAGAGAACAGCATTTGGTTGCAGTCTTGCACTCAGGAACATCCTTCGCCAATGCGTTGGCAAGATCTCCCTACTTTCCGATCCAGTTTCACCATTTTCATAATGGCTTCCTCACGCCCACGTCCCATGTGGTCAAATGTGCAGTCATGCTGTTCAGGCAGGCGATGTAACATACAGAACACATAACCTACCATGGAAAGGGAGAAGAAAAAAAAACACAGTTAGCGACTTGGTTAAAGTGGCAGAATCTTACCTGAATCAGAAATGAAGGATTACTTACCAGGGGATCACTCAGTTCTCAGAAATTAATGACAGCTTTAAGGTTTTACTTACCTATCTTCCTTACAGGGTATTAATAATCATCTGATTACTTACTGCATTTTCTTGAGTGTTTATTAACATAATACCAAAGCTCAAGTCATACTAGCTTTGGGTTTGGTTTTTTTAATGTTGTCTCACAGAGGAAGTGCCCCAAATCACCTAATGTAGGTATGCACACACAGTAACAAAGCTAATTTTGCAAAAAGAAAAAGCTAATCACCTTCTCTGAAAATCTTTTCTACTTTATTTGCAGCTGGCTGTCATTTCTGAAATTCATGCCTATGGTATTGTGGGTTGAGCTCCCGAGCAGGCATTCCAGTTAGATCTGTTAAATGTAAGCACCTTGCTTTCTCCTTACTGCCAGCACCCCAAGTTGGCAGTAACTGCAGGAAAGTTCATGGCTCCACTGCTATGCCAGATTTCAGAAGCTTCTCTTCATGAACTGTTCTGACACTAACCACAGGGGGTGAGCAGGCATTTGACACAGGGACATGTCCTGCCACATCATCTTGCTCTGTAGCTGAAAAGATGAAGGTTACTGTCTCTTTGTCTAAAGCTAGTCAATATTATTCAGTTTTCCAGGGAGCACATGACTCAGAAACACATGTAAATACTTCTTCCTACAGGTGAGGAGGGCATCTTCTGTACCCACCCCTTTCTAGTCTACAAAGAAAATAAACTTTTTTTCTTATTTGTCCCTAACTCTTTATAACAGTAAAGAAACTGCCTCAAATTTCCTGCCTCTAAAGTAAATGTTACATAGCAGTAAGTAGTATTAAGATGATATAGTAGGAGAAAAAGTCACACAGTTACAAGGCTCATGTAGTCCACCATACATGAAACCAAGTATGATATTGCCTATGCTGCAATATTTTTCCTGCCCGACGGTGCAAGGAACATCACTCTGTCTCTCACTGAATGCTTTACATTACTGCTGCTCCTTGAATGCTCAGAGGATATTAAAACCACAAAACGTTGATTTTTGAGATGGAAAAGGATAAAAATAAGTGAATAATTGAGAGTGTGATTGTTTGTGCATAACACACACACACACATCTATATATATAAAAATGTGTGTTATGTCTTTTAAGCTCCTGTACTATAAAACATCAATTGTGAGAGACGGCAACAGGCTACCTTTATGTTAGTGTGATTGTTAAGAAACAGAAAAGGAGAGAGTATCACATATGGAATTATTAAAGAAAAAAGAAAAAAAAAAGTGAAGAAAAAATTATTTATCTTTGCTCTGTGTTTCAACAGCACCAGCTGTGAAAAGCCATGGCTATTATCTGTGTCTGGCTTTGAAACCCAGTATTAGTAACAAAGCAAAAAAAAAGACAGGTTTTCTTCATTGCTATATGCTACTCAGAAATATGGATGGAAGGATGCAGACTGAATTGACAGATATCTCACCCTTGTGATCATTGCTTCCACTTCAATCTCAATCTGGATCATACCACACACTCCAATATCACAAATAAATATCTTTCTTGAGGTGCCCAAAATTCAAGGTCTCTTTGTTAAAATGAAAACATCCTTGGACTATGGCTTCAATACTGAACAGGCATTTCACTCAGTTCTCTCTTACAGAAAGCATGGATTGAAGACTTCCCTTATTTCTTGAAATAAAACTTCAAATTACTGAACCAAAGTCCACTACAGGCACAAGAATACATAAATACCTGACTAGATGAGCTCAAAAATAAAGTTCTTCGTCATATCTGCAATGGACGTGTAAGAACAAATGCAGGAAACCCTGCGGATATGGATTGTGCTGAAGTTGTTTCAGACCACTGTAGGTAAAAACTGGTTTTAAATCCTGATGCTTTTACAGATCCTCTCCACATGGTTAACAAGCGTATATATAAATGCTATTTAATGTTACATAAAAGAGCTCTTGGACATGTGTACAGTGTTCTACACAGATTCAGCAAGACAATTACAGTATCACAGTATGCTAGAGATTGGAAGGGACCTCGAAAGATCATCTAGTCCAATCCCCCTGCCGGAGCAGGAACACCTAGATAATGTTACACAGGAATGTGTCCAGGCGGGTTTTGAATGTCTCCAGGGAAGGAGACTCCACAACCTCCCTGGGCAGCCTGTTCCAGTGTTCCGTCACCCTCACTGAGAAGAAGTTTCTTCTCAAGTTTAAGTGGAACCTCTTGTGTTCCAGTTTGTACCCATTACCCCTTGTCCTATCATTGTTTGCCACTGAGTAGAGCCTGGCTCCATCCTCGTGACACTCCCCCTTTATATATTTATAGACACTTGTAAGGTCACCCCTCAGCCTCCTCTTCTCCAAACTATAGAGACCCAGCTCCCTCAGTCTTTCCTCATAAGGGAGATGCTCCACTCCCTTAATCATCTTCGTTGCCCTGCGCTGGACTCTCTCCAGCAGCTCCCTGTCCTTCTTGAACTGAGGGGCCCAGAACTGGACACAATATTCCAGATGCGGTCTCACCAGGGCAGAGTAGAGGGGAAGGAGGACCTCTCTCGACCTACTAACCACCGCCCTTCTAATACACCCCAGGATGCCACTGGCCTTCTTGGCCACAAGGGCACAGTGTTGGCTCATGGTCATCCTGTCGTCCACTAGGACCCCCAGGTCCCTCTCCCCTACACTGCTCTCTAACAGGTCGTTTCCCAACCTATACTGGAACCTGGGGTTGTTCCTGCCTAGATGCAGGACTCTACACTTTCCCTTGTTATAGTTCATCAAGTTATTCCCTGCCCAACTCTCCAGCCTGTCCAGGTCTCTCTGGATGGCAGCACAGCTTTCTGGTGTGTCAGCCACTCCTCCCAGCTTAGTGTCATCAGCAAACTTGCTGATAGTACACTCAATTCCCTCATCTAAATCGTTGATGACTATATTAAATAAATAATAAATAATATATTAAATATAATATATTAAATAAATATTAAATAATACTGGTCCCAGTACTGACCCTTGAGGCACTCCACTAGTTACAGGTCTAATAACAAAATAAATATACAACATGATTCATCACTTTCAATTGCCCATCTCTTCACCTTCTACAAAACTTCCTGCCTTCTGTAGACCCGTATAACTTCATGGTGTTCCTTTCCACTGACACTCCCCCCCCATCCCCCCCCCCCCCCCCCCCCCCAGTACATTCTATTCTGTGCTTTCCCATAGCTTCATGTCTTTTTTTAACACATTTTAGTTCTTAAGGAGCACCTGTTTCAATGTAGGAAAATCTGTGGCATTTGCTGTATTTATTCCAGATTAAACATATTTTATTTCTCTGTTTGTCAATTATGTACTTATGCGTTCTTGAACAGCATTTCAGTAACTGTCCACAAAGAATGCCATGTGATGTTCATTTTCCCAGACAACAGAAAAAGTATTTCTGAATTCAGCAACTAAGTAATCTAAAACTGCTATTCATGTATCTGCTAATTAGAACTGGTAATACCTAATGGAAGAGTATCTAAGCAGATTTTGAACAATACTAAAATAGTTTTGCATATATTGGGCTGTTCTTATGGAGGGGGTTTATTCTCTTTGCAATGCAGATCTTCTGCAAATCTCACTTGCAAAAAAAGACTTCAGATCTTTAGTCCCAAAATCGCTCCAAATGCCAAAGTCACTTTAAAGATTGAATCTTGTATTTTTGTAGGTTTTATTTTAAATTTAAAGGACTTGAATATTGCTATATAGTAGCTAATTGAGTAACAGCAGTTCTGATTAGCTCAGAACGGATATATTAAGTTATTCCTGCTGTATTCACTCCTTGCTTCTTCACTGGTCTGGAAATCAGAGTGGACATCCTGTGGTCTGCACGTGCACAAGCACTTGATGTTGTATCCAGACCATCAGTTTTTACAACAGTTATATTATTAAATTACGTGCACTGGGGCAGTAGGCCAATATATGTACTTCTGTTTTGTTCCTTAAAGCCAATGCATATTTAGAGGTCAAACTTTTCTCCTGAGAACTCTGCTTTTATGGTTATACAGCAAGTTAGATAAATGAACTCTTGCGTGTATTTACAGTCAAGTTTGTTATGGGAAGATATCAAATACAGGTTGTCTTCCCTAAAGGGTTTTACTGCAGAAATGCTTCTTTTAGCACACTGTATCTAGAAGACAAAATAAATAACATTATGCTAGGGGAAAGAGCATGGGAAAAGGGAATCCACCTGCCAGCTAAAGTTAGTTTCCCTAGTCATCAACCAAAAATATGCCAGACATCTACTCCAAGCATTGATTATTTCAGTCCAGTAAATGTAATAATACATCTCACACCATTGCAATTGTTGTTCTCTGATGTTAGAAGTAAACTATGAATCACGTACTCCTCAGGCCTGTAACGCAAACTTCTTGGAAATTTCCATTCTGAAGTATCATCTCAAAACCTCTGAGCTCCTCTAAGCACCCAGAAACTACTGCACGATTTATCATCAAAAATTCACTTCCATTTTATCACTAGAACATAAATGGCTAAAGCCATAAAGCACCGTACTATCTCTGCTTTACTTGTACCCATAAAGATGAGTCATTCAGAGGAAGTCTAAGATCACACACAAGCAACTGTGAGGTTGCTTTCATCATTCCTGAGGAATCTACTGAGAAAAGGCAATTGGAGAAGACAGAAAACAAAATAATCTTCCATTTTCAAGACCAGAAAATACCACAGACCTACAGTTTGCTGTGTGTGAGTGATGATGAAAAACAACTGCATTTTCCTTATTACATTCAAGAGCACTGGATAGATGGGAGTATGGAATGACAATAAGCAAATATTTTAGCTAAAACCTACATTTAATTCTTAACTTTGTCTTAAAATTCTGAAACCAGTAAGCTACTAAATTACCAATAAAAGGGTATGCGAAGCATCAG